TCTGGCCCCCACGTCGATGGTATCCCGTCCCTTTGAAGCGGCGTTGAAGCATCTGCGGGCAGCGGCGAGGTCTCCTTGGATGGTGGCTACCCGTGCCCTTTTGGTATAGAACTTCATTTTCAGATGGACAGTCGAGGGCACCGCCGTCAGCTCCGCCAGTGTCGGTCTCCCCAAGATGCAATTGTATAGAGACGGGCAATCAATGACGAGGAAGCGGACCTTAACCTGTCTCGTAGTCGTTCCTTCTCCGAACATAACCAGGAGCTCGACATAACCCCAAGGTTTGGAAGTCGAGCCGTTGAAGCCTTGAAGATCCGAACCCACATACGGAGAGAGATGTGAGTCGTCCAGTTGTAAGGTCCGGAACAGCTGGCTGTACATCACGTCGACGGAACTCCCTTCGTCGACCAAGATGCGGTGCACGTCAAAATTGGCCATTTTTGCCCTTATCAGTAAGGGGATGACTGCGTTCGGGGCTCCGCCGGGGAGTTCTTCTAGGTAGAAGGTGATGGGCTCTGACCTGCCCTTCACCCTTTCGAACGTTACCGTTTGAGGAGGAGCTATGTCGACCAGCTCGTCCAACTTCCTCTTAGCTGAATTGATGGTGAGGTCGTTGAACCTTCCCCCGTTGATGACCATGGCGGAGGGGAAGTATTCCCACCTGCTGTGTGTTGTCAGGGGCTCCTGCAGGAGCTCGGGAACGTCGAAATCCTCGGGCCTGGTTACCGAGAAGGCGGTCTGGATAAGCACCGACTCGTCTGATGGTCGGGCATCTTCTTCGGGCTCCTTGGTTTCATGGGCGTCACGACGGGGAGCGTCGTTTCGCCTGTACTGTGCGAGCCTCCCTCCCTTGATGAGGGTTTCAATGGCGTCCTTGAGGTGGACGCAGTCTTCTGTCAAATGACCATGAGCGGGAAGCCGTCTCTGAAATCTGTACTGGCACACTCCGCCAAAATACGCTCGCGGGAAGCCGTGAGCGGAGTGTACTCGGTGAAACGGCCCGAGGGGCCCCTTTGTTCCCGGACTTCCCGGGGTCGATCTTCCTTCCTTTTCTCCCCGGTACGTCGGGGAGGAGGCTCTTGTCGTGAGTTGCTGCTGTTGTTGGGAGCGCGAGTCCTGGAGTCTCGGGCCCTGTTGGCAGCTTCTCTCTCCTCGTAGTCCATGTATGCTCGGGCCTTGTCGAGGAGGGCATCAAAAGTTGGAGGTGGCTCAATACCCACAGCCTTTCTGAATTCTGTGCCGGGGAGGAGACCCCTCTCCAGCAAGTATCTTTTTATATGGTCCGCGCAGGAGACCTGTATTGCTTCCCGGTTGAAGCGGTTGATGAATTCCCTCAAGGTTTCATCCTGTCTTTGGATGATGGCCTCGAGGGCCGCCTCGGTCTTCGGATGGCGCCGAGAAGCTGTGAAGGAACTGATGAACTGGTTCTTCAGGTTCCGCCACGACGTAATTGAGCCCGGGGCGAACCCTTTATACCAGTCCATGGCCGCCTTCCTGAGAGTCGTGGGGAAAAGACGGCACTTGATGGGCCCCCCGACATTATGATAGTGGAGCATGGCTTCGAACCCGTCAATGTGGTCGACCGGGTCCGCTACTCCGTCATACTCCTTCAGATGCGGGGGCTTCTCCATGCCCGGGGGGATAGGTGCATCCATGATGGCCTGCGACAGGAGACCGCGGGGGTCGTCCTCGTCGCTCCTCTCCGGAGAAAGCGAAGGGGTCCTATAGTTATGTCTGGCACGATGATCGTGCTGAGTTTCCCTCGAGTGTGATGCTCGGTGGTTGAAGGTCACACGCCCGTCCCCGGCGTGCCTCTTGTCGTGCCTTGATGGGTCGCGACTGGGTTCTCCGGCAGGGATGGCGGGCTGTCTCTCATGGTAGGGCCGCCTCTGCTTTGGCCGGGGAGAAGGACTCCTGGAGTTCTCCCTGTAGTGTCTTCGCGGGGGAGAAGGGTGTCGAACTTCCGTGATCCGAAGAGGTGGAGAATGTGGCCTCCGATGCCTCCTCGGGGGTCGTCGATCATCTTCAAGTGCCCTTAATCTTTCTCCTTGGGTGAATATGAGATAATTTGTCTGATTAATGGCCGCGAACAGTGCCTGAGTCGTGGCATCTGCCCCGGCGGGAACTGGGACTTCATAGAATCGGGCAGCTCTGTGATGAGCGAGAGCTACCGGGTCGTCTTCGAGTGCTGGAGGGGTCGTAGAGGATGATGCAGTAGCCCCGTCCCTGTGGGAGGAAGGTCCAGGGGCGGTTGTCACAGGGATGGCACTGTGGCCGGGATCACCGGGGTTATCGAGGTGTCCATTCTTGTCCGCGGTACCGTTATTAGTGTCGGCGACACGGACGGGCTGCTCGTCGCGAGCTGGATCAGCCATGACAGGTAGTTGAATTGAGCTTTGGTCTTTAGAATTGTTCGTTAGACGGGGAAGCTAGTTTCCCATATATATATATATATATATATATATATATATATATATATATATATATATATATATATATATATTTAAAATATGATTATCGCAAAAAAATATTCTAATGTTCTACCTTATACATTTTTAATTAAAAATTAACACAATGGACCAACTTGATTAACAAAAATAGATTTAAAAGACTAAAAAATATGTTTAATAATTAACTGACCAAACTAAATTAATAAATTAAGTCAAAGGACTAAAAGTTTAATTAAGCAAAAAAATAATCATAAAAAACTTTTTTTTTAAATATTTTTTAAAATATATAACAATCAAATCATTAGTTGTAACATGTACCTGAAGACACAAGTTAGCATTTGCTTTATTTTTTTTGCAAAAGTTACAAAATTAAGAGATATTAGAAGTTCAAAAACTCTTGACTTTATCACAAAAAAGTTCTAAAAAACGCAATATCAGACAATTATTGACATGAATTGTTGATATTTACCACTGATACCGCATAATTTGTTCTTTAGATGAGAAAATACACTTACATATGAAAACAATATTAACTAGTCAGAGCCTGGTTTAACCAAGGATATTAATTAGTAGTATAGGGCTCACCTCTATTGTACAACAAAAGAAAGTGCATGATTGATTAAACACCAGATAAAACCAAATATAAGAATATGCTTGAGCATATAGTTAAACACCTGATAAAACCAAGGATAAGATGCTCTACATTCAGGAATTCGACAGCTAAACAAAAGCATACTTAAAAACAATGGCAAACTATATTTTTTTGAATTCAACTAATGCTTGTTTCAATATGCTGAGACATCAAGCTAAATAAATTCAATGATACGGACTTTCATCCATGTCCATATGCAATCAGAAATAGTACCTCTTAAATGTTACATAAAAATACAAACAATAATTTTATAATTTCTAAATACCAAAACTATATAGTTCTTTTTTTTTTAACTGTTTAACTAAAATCTACCTGAGACTACTTTGCTTTTAGTTACTTTCGGTATAACTCTTCCAGAAGAATAATGCCTCCTGCAACCGATTAACATTAACATTAACATTAATAATAATAATAATAATAATATTATTATCACCAATACCAATACCAATACCAATACCAATACCAATACCAATACCAATACCAATACCAATACCAATACCAATACCAATACCAATAACAATACCAATAACAATACCAATAACAATAACAATACCAATAACAATAACAATAACAATAACAATAACAATAACAATAACAATAACAATAACAATAACAATAACAATAACAATATGGGTTTGATTACATTACATTTTACCAATTAAGAAGGGTGTGCTAGAGAATTAAAATTGTAAAAGCCTTTTTTCTTATAATGTGGGTTTGATTACATTTTAATTTTGCCAATTTAGAAGAGTACTGGAGAATCAAAATTGGGGCCACACGCTCCCGATGCAAGAATTATTATAACACTAAACCAGTCAACATGATTGACAGAGTCATTGATGTTCGCTGTTTCATTGACAGAGTCTAGATGGTCTCAGCATAGAGTCAAATGCAGAAAGCTTGAAGTTTCTTTGATTTGATAAAAAGTGAAAACAATATGACATTTTTGTAATTAGTAATGATGAAAACAGAAAATAAAAATAGAAAATGCCTTCTCATACTAAAAAAGTGTCACTTTATTTTCACTTAGTTTTTTTTTTTTAAGTTTTTGCCATTGTCTATACAGATATTAGAAACCAGAAAATGAAACAAGGTGAAATATTTTCAACAGAAAAAGCTTTCCCAAATAAAAATACACCTAAAAGTGGTTTGTTTTTGGTTTTTATCTCCAATTGATAAAAACAAAATAATTGTAAGTCATGAGAACAGTTATTTGGTTTATCCCATCAGTCATTAACGCATACCTTCAACTTCATGGCATATCGGTCATAAAAGTGTATGTTCAATTTCATGACCTATCTGGCAATCTATCAAAATTCATAATGTGTTTAAAGAAAATAAGATGAGAGAGTTGTTCGTACTTACTAAATGTCATGCTTCCATTTTTGAACATTGGATTTTAGTTTCATTGAAAAATATGGAACTAATGCCTTCAAATGCTGCTCGAAGCACTTCAGGAACTCACTGGACATTAAAAACATACAGTAAAAGAACATGTAAGAATCAAAAACACAAACTCAATTGAAGTTATTAGCTTTTAACCAAAAATAGCATCTAAAGTAAAGCATACGGCACACAAGCATTGGAAAGGGTTAATAAAGTAGCTTTTGCAAGTTTCAGTAAACAAAGATGGAAGCTAGAAGGGAACAGAGAAAATTTAACTCTAAACCAATATGCCAAGGAGGTGGTAAGTTTGTGATTAAAAATACCAATTGTTCCACTTCATTTGGGAGCATTAGAAGATTTTGAGTAGTTTCGTTAGCATTACAACAATCAGAAAATTATTTAGTAGAGACTTTAACATTTTGAAGTATGAAAAGCATAATGAACGGAAATTCAAAGATCTACAACCTATTAAAATATTAGCATCATGTAATTTCACTTAAATGCCTAAAATATCAAAGCACCTTTAGCCTTGGGGATCTTCTAGACAGGGCCATAACACCAGTTTTCGTCATGCTCCTTAAAATTCTTGCAGCAGGTTTATCACTTGAACCTTGAATCTCGGAGTATATGTCTTTCCTCTTTTTGTTAAGTTCCGTTTTGGAAACCTGATCATCATAATTTAGGCGAGACTTCTTAAGTGGGTCATCGGCCATAACACCAGTTTTCGTCGTGCTCCTTAAAATTCTTGCAGCAGGTTTACCACTTGAACCTTGAATCTCGGAGTATCTGTCTTTCCTCTTTTTGTTAAGTTCCGTTTTGGAAACCTGATCATCATAATTTAGGCGAGACTTCTTAAGTGGGTCATCAAATTGGGAGCATCTGAAAGCAAAGTATAAATATGCGCAAATCAGTTGCAAAATAGCTAGAAAAACACAGGCAATTGTAACTAACAAGAGTAATTATTACCTTGAACGCCCCTTTCCATCAACAGTCTTGGCCGCCTTCTGCAAAAATGGAATGCTTTAATAGTATAGCTAAGTGATTACATAAAAAAGTAAACAATATGCACATGTAAACAACACAAGAAGTAGAAAAGTATCGCCCAAACTTGCTAGGTGGAATATATTTAAATAATAATCAATAATTGACTTTCATCATCTTCAACATATCATAAAAATGAAAATACAAATGGCTTTCAAGGGAGTGTGAGATTACACAATCAAAAACTGTAAAGAAGAAGGAAAGCAAAATTTGAAGAGCTACCTATGTAAACAAACAAGTACGAACTACATAATACAACAGCATACAAATACTGATCAAACTACAATGAAAAATATACCAATTCAGTTTTATAAGAACCTAAGCAAATGAAAGATTTTTAAATCTGATTTTTGAGAAGCAAAATCATTTAGGCAACAGCATTTAGTAATAATACCAATCGTGTGATGATGAGAATCATTAACATTTATTTTCCCCTCAAGTAGATTTCAAATTCTTCAATAATTGGTAGTATATGAATTATATTTAGCAAGAGATATTATCGTGCAAAACTGTACAATGCAAAGCTTAATAGATTTGCACCACATATGACAGATAAGTCTCTTCAATTTACCTTCATGGTCCAAAATTTCATCAGTGAAATACAATATTATACACCAAGCACCAAATCATAAGTTAGAAGTTGAATAACCATACTCATCAAATCTAATGGCCATTTTATGCTCAGAAAAAGAATGAAATTGAATAGAGATTTCTTTTGAATGAGAGTGAGAAAAATGAAAAGGTGTTACAAGTACACTCAAAAGGTAGAGAGAAAACACTATACCCGGAAGTGTTTCATTTCAGGAGTGTTCTTGGGATCACCGGGTAAAACTGATGCATATTTATGACAACTTGCAACTTCCGAATTTCGTAATTCCACAGAAATACTTAATGAAGCTCCAGCACACACCACACCAGGGTTCACAATACAAGAACCCTTTGGAAGACCGCAATTCCGAGAACCTCCATTATCAGGCTTTGAAAGTTGAACCTCCAGTGTGCCAGGATCAGACATTAAAGACCTTGATTGATTTTCCAGTAAATCCTTTCCCACTTTTCCAGTCATTCTTTCACCGTTATTTTGTCTACCTAACTCTGCAACACCGTCTTTGGTCAATTTCAACCCTGATGACGAAAATTTAGCCTGCCCATCACAATCAACAACTTGACTACAATCTCTATTCCACAAGAATGAAGATTTATCTCTTAAGCCACTGAGATCTTGCCGAAGACTCCGAGATTTGTTTCCATTCACGTTCTCACTCACTCGGACCTCATTTTTAAACTTGTTAGTCCAATCAGACAGAGACGAAGTGAAATCAACTTCAAGAGTAACTCCCTGATCTGACCAGACATAGAACTCAAACAGCGAGCGAGGGAATTCAGTAACCGCTTTTATCGTATCAACAAAATCACTCTCCGCCGAAGGTGCACCTGTTCTGCGATTATTTCGCCGCGCTGCTTTACCCCTCATTTTATTCTAAACCTAATGAACGTGAAAGCTTCTTCCAGAAAACTAGTACTTCTTCAAAGGGTTGTTTGTTCATAGAAAGAAAATAAAAATGCAATCAAAATCTAGTAACAAGATCAATATGTACTGTTCAATCAATATTCTATATTCACTTTTACTAGCTTTTCAAAATATGATACCAGTAGATATTATTATCTAAAAAAATTATTCAAAAAATCGTTAAACCTAATTTGGAGTAAATTCTACCGGAGCTTATAATATAAGTTGAAAATAAAATAATCGCGATGGTACATTGGCTTCTCTGATTGCAAAAATGAACCGCAATCTATAGATATTGGAGACCGAAGCGATGCGATGCGAGAGGTGAGAGAAAATGGAGAGAGAAACAATACCTACTAATAATGGAAAATGTTGCTGAGAAGAAGAAGAAGCAGCAGCAGCGAAGAGGTTGCGGAGGGAGAAGGTAGCGGCGGGTTTGACTTCCGAGTTGAAACTTTGAAATTCGACTCAGTGAGTGAACGGTGCTTCAGTGGATTGAATAATGAACCAGTCCAACGGGATTATGGTATGTAGTTCGGATAATTAATTATTTACAGCACAGCTTTTCTTCGTCACGCGTAAAGAATCCATCACTGGATAGGTCTTCGCGGTGGGGTCCGAACAGTTGTGATGTAAAAAGTTATTTGAACCGCTAATAAAAAGTAATCAAATTTATTAATTCTCTTACGAGTTACAACATCCCTATCCATTATACTTATCTGAATCATTTATACGTGTCTCATTAAATTTATTATTATTTTATATTTTATAATATTTAAACAATTCATCTATATTTTTTTAATATTCATAAATTTATTAAAATTCTAAAATGAGTTACATTGGATACTATATTTGTACTCAAAATTTAATTATTTGTATTGTTTTAATTCAATTAGAATGAACGTATTGTTCTTTTAACTTAATGATAGAAAGTTAAAGATCTTTGTGAAATGACAAACATTCATTGTTTTCTAATATATAATTTATACATAATTATATATATTAATTATCAAATATACTAAAATTTATTTATAATTTATTATAAAGGGAGTATAATTTTTGAGATCGATGAAAGAACCTTTAAAACACATTAATATTTATGTTTTTAGAACACCGATATCAGATTGTTTTCATCTTCCTATACGGTTACTTATGATACACTATCGTAGTTGTATTGACATTTGATTTTAAAATATGACTAGTAACAAATATCGTATAAATTTATATTATAAGTCTATCAAATTATTATTTATCAAATTATTATTTATAAAAAAAATTAAATTTATTCTTTAATTAGTTGATATTTACATAGTCATAAACATATGCGATTAATATACACAAACTTTTAATCATTGATTTGTACTTATAATAAATCGTACATTCGATTCTTTAACTTCAATTATATGAAACAACACCAAAATAAAAATTTAAAAGATGGACATTAAAGTGAACAATCTACCACATATATTTACTCGTGAATTCATATGAATTAACAAATTCTAACGTAAAATTGTATAATAACTCTCCGTCAAATTTTAATTTTAAAGCTTTCTTATTATATCATATCTATATTTTTTTTATAAATTAAATAAATAATAAAACAAAAATATTTCTGTTTTGATAGCTATGATAATTTGCATTTTTATTATTTAAAAAATGCTATATTATTAATATAAGACAACTAAAAGTTAGAGAAAACAAATAAAACAGTCACTCTTATTTTTTTGATACTCATCTTTTATTCTATTATTACATGAAAATAACTAATACAAATTTATATGGAAAATATAAATTTAACAAACTAAAAGCAAGTAATACTTATTTAGAAATGATTATTAAAAAAACATATAGTAATTTGCATGTAATAATTTTTGTCTAAAATATGTAATAATTGTGATCACAAATTAATAGAATGAAAATTATATTATAGATTTATTTCGAATCAACTTTTTCAAATCATTCTCATCACCTTCTTACAAAAGCAAATTGATGTTAGTAGTTGCATAATAATAAAATAAATATATGGAAGTGTTTGTTAAAAAGAAAGTGTTAATGGATAATATATGTATTTCTTTTTCATTCTGATTATATTGGAACAGAAACTGCTATGAAGTTATGAAATCGGGTATTTGTGGATTGTGGTACAATTTTCAAATGTGTTGATTTTATCATGTACAATTTTTTTAACCAAAATAGAAGAAAAAAAAATCAATTAGTGTAACTGACATTTAATACTCTTATCTCATCTGCACCGCTCATTTATTCTCTTCGTCAAACCATTTTCACCCAATTAATGAATATCGAATATGGAGAAGACAAAACATATCACACATTGCCTACTATTATATATTAAATTACTATAAATCAACCCTTCATGCCCTTTCTATACACCAACAGTTAGATACCAAACCTCAGTTAAAATCCTTACACAAATTCACACACCTCCTCCACCAACAATAACCTACAGAACCTATGCTCAAAGTTGTGTTTTAGCATGGCTTTTCATGTTTCAAAGAAAACCGTGTATTGGATCAGTCTTCCAAATGTTTCAATTTCAAAATTAATTCAAATCGACTGTTGATGTATCAATTACATTTAATAGTTGTTTATTTACACAATAATCGTGCACTCAAAACAACAAATCTGTAATAATTTATTTAATTAGTTAATTATGAAATTAAAAATAAATAAAAAATACAATAAAAATTCTTAGTTTATCACATCAGCAGTATTAATTATTAAATTAATATAAATCAAGTATCGTGTAAATAGTCTATATTATCCTTAGAATTAAATTAGTTTAAACTTTTAATCATATGGATTAAAGTATAATTATATACTTTATTTTTTATATATTTATAATAGATTTTTTAACTTGTCAATTTTTATTTTATTAAAGAATGTTTTTTATTTATTTTAATTGAATTAAAAAATTAATATTATTTGATCTTACTGAATCAGAAATGGACCGTCACAGCTGGCTCGGGCAGAAGTTGAATGAGATGGAGGGTACCTGCAAGATACTTTGATGACAAAGTAAGAAGTGGAATGAGCAAGCAAGTATGATTTTAGAGATGAATTTTGAATACTTGACTGTTGTACCCCAAAATTTGCCCTCCTATTTCCTCAACATTTTCTCATCACAAGACCTTTGAAGATCAAGATCCAGTTAGGGTTTCCTCTGCTCAAGACTTCTCCTTGCACTGTGGATTCAAATTAGGGTTTGTGTTTGCCCAAGGATGTTTTGACCTAAAATGCCTAAGATGACTTTCATGCTTCATATTGGACTCCCAAGTTTACCCTCACCAAGTTTCAAAGTCTTGATTCCAAGTTTTGCCCAGTCAATTGGACAGTTGACCTAGAAATCAGCTGTATTGGGAAAAAGTCAACTGTGGCCAATTGACAGTCAAATCTCATGAAATTTGACCCACATCAACATATTGAACTCATATGAACCATTTGATCAAGTTTGGATCACAATTCTCCAAGAAATTTGATCAGATCATCAAAAGGGCAAAATGGTCATTTTTAGGGTTTTGACTGCACAAAGGTAATTTTTGACTGTTTGACCTAGCCAATGGCAAACCAAGCTCACATATGGACTCAAGGACCCCATGAAATGGTCTTGACACATTCATCAAACTCAAAAGATCCCAAGTACACAAGGTTGACAGTTGAATTTCCCAGTCAATTGATCAATTTTGACTGTATACTGAAAAGTCAAACTTTGACTTTTTGGTCAAAATCAAGAGTCAAGATTCATTTTTCATCAAAACTTGCCAAATCATGAAACTTGTTCACCAAGAAATCACAAAATGCAAATTAGGGTTTGAAAATGGAATTTTTCATAACTTAGAATTTTTCTAAGTTATGAAAAACCCTAATTTTTTCCCAACTTTGCCCCATCTTTTCACCAAGATCCATTTGGATTCAAACAAAAGTCAAAACATGAAAGTTGTAGCTTGTTGAATGATCTACAACTTTGATTCACAAAGTTTTCTCATTTGAAGCTTGTATCTCAAGTTACAATTTTTTGAATAAGGGCACTAAACCATTTTTAACTTAGTGAAATTTTAACCTATTTTGACAAGGTTTTCTACCCCACTTCAAGGCCACTTTTCATACCCTTCCACTTGGAATTTTGATTTGCATTTCAAAGATGGATTGTAGTACACATTCCAAGCTTTCCAAAATGTCCAAAAACTTCTCAAACAACCTCATAACTTGAGAGATTCGAATTTCACAAATCGACAAAAATTCACTTTTGTTCTTCATCAAGACATGTTCATAATCTTGCAAATTTGAACTCAGCTCACTTTATGCTTGATTTCAGGTCCTTGAACCATTCCATACTCAATAATTTAATGCATATTCAATGTGTTAAGACCATGTTCTTTGTGTTCTAACATTGCATAGTAGATTAATCCTAAACTAGATAAAGTGAACTTTCCATTTTTGAAAAGATTAACTTTATGTCCAATTGCAAATCAAGAAGGTACAAGCAAAATCCTTTTGGCACAAGATTATGGGCAAATTGCTCTGATCAAGAGAGGCTTATGCAGCAGGATTAGAGGCCCCTACTGACCTAAAACACAAAGTGACCATTGCTTGCTTCATTTTCAAGTAACATTGCATAACTTGTACCATATCTCATCTCAGCTTAGACACACAAGAGAGAAGTTATCAAACACATTACACATAACATATCCAAGCTTTGGCACGAGTCCTAAACCTCTCAAGCACCCTCCATCTCAGAATCACCTTGAAATTGCTCAAACAGGGCAACCCCTGCAGATTGAGTGCTATCTCTCAATCCCTTCGAGCATTCTTGTCCAAACCTGTTCCTCTACCTTCCTTACAACATATGCAAGCTAACCATGGCCTAAAACCTGACCTGTAATCACCCTAACAGTTTCCACCATTTTCATTTTTTCTTTTTGTAGTTGAAGTTCCATAGCTTGATT